CCATTATAAGGTATACTAAGGTATTAACACTTGAAGTATTTTATGAGTATATCGCTCATATAAGTGTTACTATGGATATTGCCTTAGTTCAGTGGGAGTTGGTGTTCAATGTTTTCTTGAATGCTATAACTCCAGTTTTCTGCAGAATAAAGTTGATGGTTCTGATTCGTTATGAATCACTAAAGTTTTCTAGTTTTGCAACTTTGTGTTGCAATTATGGATTGATCTCACTAAGGATTTAAAGTTGGACCAGTTGGAAAGAGACATGTTAAAGATCACATTGCATGTAATTTCTATGCCACTCACCATATTTGATCTATGTCATTGAGTGTACTAGTATGATGACTTTCGGGGTTTATCCACGATTTGTAATGTGGTGAAAGCCGCGGTAGTTTCATTGCTAATATATGAGATGGACCAGATTGTTTAAGGTAGTCTGATTATGAATAACATAAAGTTGCGCAATTAAAGAATTAATATAATTGCTTCAGAAATAATATGTAGCCCAAGTGGGAGATTGTTAGGAAATATTTTATTTCTTAATGTATAATCTAATTATGGGCAACATATTATATACAATTATATTATATTAGCTATTCAATTAATTAATGGACTCAATTAAGTGATCTAAATTAAGTAGAGTTCATGGGCTACATAAATTGATATGGACTTAATGAGTGGATACCTAATATTACTAGGGTTAGGTGATAATGGGTGGTCTACCCTATTAGTATATATATAGACCCTCTTGGTTATGGTCCCCAATATACTAAATCAAACACAGTTTTCTTTTCTCCCCATTTGAAAGAAGACGACGGTCCCATCTGAGGAATAAGGCGATTTAGTTGAGGAAGGCCATAATACCAGTTGATCCAATTAATCAATCGAGTTCGTGTTCCGCAAAAGAAACTCATTTGATCCAGGTATTTCTAATAATCTTTTAGATCTAGAGCGATGTTGATTTTCCTAGAATTAAAGCATGTTCTAGGATAATTGTTATTGAATTTATATGTGATTATAAATTCCTACAGGAAACACAACCGACGTTGAATTCTTGCAGGTGTTTGCGACAGTCTAAAGGCGATTTGAAGGCTGTTCAAACGAATT